CCAGTCCCTGTCTTCACAGTCTAGCAGGAATTGTAAGAGCTGGTTTGCTAATGTTGATCCAGCACTATTCTAGTGTCTGAGACTTTGGGTTTGACAAACAGGTCCTCCTGTCCCTAGGAAGGTGACCTCTGACGTTAGATGTGGGGCATTGTTTCAGTTTCTCACACACTGGCTGAAATAGCTCATGAGATCAGCCTTTGCTTCAAATCCTCATTCATCAAAGCAGACTATTATTAACATAAGCTTGAAAACATCTCCGTAATAGCAAAAACAGCCATAGAGAAGGGATGGGGAGGTATTCTTTAACTGTATGGTTTATTGCCACATGGTATGAATAACTCACCCTAGCCTTATCCATGGCCTTCTTGAGTGTGGCTCACCTTCGCTGCTGTGACAAGACCAACTCAGGATAAATGGGTAAAGTCTTGGTTAACTTGCAAGGCAGAGGCCCAGATGCCATCAGTGGTGATCAAGAGCTTCAGCTTAGAAAACAGACATGATGTCAGACAGCATCAAACCACTGATCACAACCCAGTCCCCCTCTCCTGTCCACTCTTTCTCACTCCTTAAGGGCAGCATACTGTCTAGTGTTTAACATACTTTCTCACACACATTGTAAATTTCCAACTACCCTATGGGGATATCCTAACTTCCATTTCATGAATGAGAAAATCAAACCTCAGAAGTAACTTACTCAGTCTCCCACAGCTGCTAGCACAAAGCCCACATTCAAACCTAGACCTTCAGGCTCCAAACCAGCACTTTTTCCATTATCCCACACCCAGCGGCTTTTACATTTTCAGTTCTTCTTTCTTTTTGCATGTTGTTTCAACTCTTCCTGATGTGGAACTGTCTTACAACCTGCTAGTTTTCTCCAGGGCCTCTGGAGGCAGCCATGGATCAATGACTTAGCAGGGCTTGCCCCACCTCCTCATGTTTTGGGTCTCCTAACCAGATTGCCATCCCCAAGCCTCTCCTGCCTCCTGCATAAGAGTCCTGTCAGTTTTATGGGTGCCTGTGGGTCTACTGTAACAAATAGAGGCGAGCATGTGGGTGGTACACATTGCGGTTTTCTATGAATCTATTAATATTTTTGCGGAGGACACCCTGAATTTTAACTTGACTGATTTCAAGATAAATTACCTCCTCAGGGAGATATCCTTCCCGGCTTTTCCCTTCAACACTCCCCTTCCCCAGGATGGATTTGTTTGCTAGATTTTGTTGTTGTTGTTGTTGTTGTTTTACCATCTAGGGCTTCTCCTTATCACCTGGTGCTGGTGCTCAAAGGCAGGGATATTAATAGCTAGAAGCAGCCACAGCTGATTTCTGTCTCAGGCAGGCCAAAGGGAAATCAGATCTACTTCTCCTTGACCTCTGTAGGGACTGGTGATGATCCTTAAGGTCCTTATGCATCTGTATTCAGAAAGGGACTGCTGTTTTAAATGTCTGTAAAAATTTCCCTGGATAGATCCTACGTTTTTTTTTTTTTTTTAAGACAGAGTCTTGCTCTGTCGCCCAGACTAGAGTGCAGTGGTGCAATCTCGGCTCACTGCAACCTCCGACTCCTGGGTTCAAGCGATTGTCCTGACTCAGCCTCCCAAGTGGCGGGGATTACAGGCGCCCACCACTGCACCTGGCTAATTTTTGAATTTTTAATAGAGATGGGTTTCACCATCTTGGCCAGGCTGGTCTCAAACTCCTGACCTCGTGATCCACCTGCCTCGGCCTCCCAAAGTGCTGGGATTACAGGCTTGAGCCATCACACCCGGCTGAGATCCTACTTTTTAAAAAACTTTCTGGGTTTCTGATTTTATTCTAGTGTGCACAGACTACTATTTTAAGAGTGGGAGAATCATTATATATACACACAGAAACTGGGGGAAATTAATATTATGAGATTAAAATATATAAAAAATTAAAATGTATGCACCTAAAGTCTCTGCATTTGGGGACATAATTGTGCCATTTATGTTTAAAAAAAATAACCACATCATCTCTGTTCAACATTTTTTTTTTGGCTTTACCAGGACAATGGTGATAAAAATTCAAATGCTGAAAATAACTATGCTTTTGAGATTAACATTATATTAGGGGTATATTACAACTCCTAATGTATTAAAAGGAAAAAATTAGTTGATTATGTCATAACTAAAAACAAAAATATTAAACAAAGGCAATAATAACGTGCATAGACTGAAATACCTTCCGTTTCAAAATTAGTGATAACATTCCTTTCCAAGTCAGTAGCTTTCCAGTATAAGCTACAGCCCGTTGTATAAAGATACAACACGTCATTAGCCACGTCCTTAAGAAGAAGTACCTTCTTAATAATAAAATACACAGGAAACTCAGTGCATTTTGGCTCAGGTTCTGACATGTTTCTTTTTCGCTAATTCTCAACCCAAGCTCTCTAGTATGTACTAGGAATTATTGCCTCTTTTAATCAGAGCAGAACTTTAAAAGAGAACCCGTTTGCTTCTCGATGGGCTCTTCAACGGTTTGCCATAGGTACTTGTAGTCTGGAAGAGACTTTTTCAATCTGAGCAGCCTTTCTACTAAAAGAAATTTATCTCCCAAGAGGTTATAAAATCAACTATGTTCCAAATGAAATAATAAGGAAAGGATCTGCCGTTTTCCCCTCCAATTCAGCAGGACCCATTTAGTCTTGTTGAAAGTCAATTATTTTTATAGATGGAACAAATTCTTGGGCCTGGGCCACACCCTCTATAACTCTATGTGAATCTAGAGATCAGAACCTTCTGGATTGCAAACTAAGAGATGAATTAGTAAACAAGAAAAGCCATCAAAGAACCTCTATTTCCCCATCCTCCTGCTGGTCCTTTCTGATAGCAGCAGCACAACTCTCATTTCACTCACCCACACCCCTCCGGGTCTCATAAAGCTAGACATTTCATTCTCCCACTGCCCTCGTCACTTCCTATAATTGCCTGGCCCTTGAGGCAGCAGTAGAAGAAGATCTAGCACTGCAGTAAGAATCTTTTAAGACACAGGTTGGGCCTCCCATTTGCTGAACACACAAGCTCTTGCTCATAATTACTAAGCCCCAAACCCATGGTTAGAAAGATAAGCCAGGGCTATCTTTTCACTCACATAAACGCAAAGCAAGTATTAAGTATTATTTTTTAGTTATCTGTCCAGTTTCACAAACAGCTTTAAATAGTGCCCAGATAGTTATATAATAAGGCACATATTTTTTCCTCATTGGATTGTTTGTGTATAGACTAGGTAACCAAACAAAAAAAAGGCTCATTTTTGTTTTAATTGCACTGCAGCTCTCAAGCCTCCCAAAAAGACACACATGCTATTTAAGAATTTAAGAATATCTGGATCATTGTAAAAGCTGTATCTGACTCACCAAGGATCATAGAAAATCACTGAAAACTGTTGGCCCTCTCACCCCTGGGACCTTCACCCCATATTGCCTTGTTTGTAGACAATCCTGGGGGCTAGAGCCCTGAGTTAGTCTAAGACTCTATATCAGCCCTGTCTCCACTGGCCCTACATCAGACCTTACACCTGGCCAAGCCAACTGGCTCCATGGGAGCCTCTGATGAGCAAAAGGGATAATCCCATTCAAACTCAGAGGATTTGGGTAGAACTGACCCTCGCTGGAAATGTGGAGTTGCACTTGGTTCATTCTGTCAGTATCTATATGAAGAAGACAGAAAACTGGCAGGGCCAGACGCAGTGGCTCAAGCCTGTAATCTCAGAACTATGGGAGGCTGAGGCGGGTGGATCACTTGAGGTTGGGAGTTCAAGACCAGCCTGGCCAACAAACCCCATCTCTACTAAGAATGCAAAAATTAACAGGCCATGGTGGTGCACGCCTGTAATCTCAGCTACTCGGGAGGCTGAGGCACAAGAATCACTTGAACCCAGGAGGCAGAGGTTTCAGTAAGCTGTGTGCCACTGCACTGCACTTCAGCCTGGGCGACACAGCCAGACTCCATCTCCAAACAAAAGAAAAAAGAAAGAAAGAAAACTGGCAAGGAGACATGTGAAAAACACAGCCCCTGGTTCAGACTCTAGTCCCACCACCAGCTCTTTCAGACAGGCCTATGTATGTCATCAGGACCCAGTAACTGGCTGTGTCAGCAGGGGAAGTGTCAGGCACCACAGGAGTCACCAAGCCTGCCCTTTATTTTGACACCTATCTGAAAGGAGAGACCTATGTGTGGCTTTATTTCACATAATAAAGGAATATTTCATTCTAGCTTGCTTCAGGTTTAAGACTGTAATGTGTGCATTGCCAGGGTGACTTTATAACATTGAGCTACTCGACATGCTTTCTAAAATCATGTTTATGTCATTAACTGAGTAGCATACCTTACTCAGAGTGGATATTCAGAAATGATTAGATCTGAGTTAAGCATTAACATCCCTTCTCCCATGAGGCTTTGAATATCCTCATTTCCAGCAGCAAAGGTCCAAGCAAGGGAGTAGCAGTGAAAATTGGTTTCCTCACACACACACAAAAAAAGACCCTAAAAGTCACTTTCCAATCACCATTAGTAGATGCAATTACATCTCAGATTGAAAAGCTGCAGCAGAATGGGTCTGGTGCTCACTCCTTCAGTGAGTACCTGTGTAACCTGAGAATGTCATTTCATTTGTCTGGACTTTGGTACCCTGATCTTAAATGGGGACAATGACCAGATGAGTTCTCAGGTTTCTTCCCAAACTAGTCCACTTCCCTTCCTACCATCACCCCTTTTGGTTTTGTGGCTGGATTTACACTGGAGCCCAGTTCGATTCAGCCCTAGGGTCACCCCAAGAGGCCAGTGCTACCCATATTGATAACTGGATTTTCAAGGAGAAAGAAAAGCGATATTTTGAACAGCCCTAGGATAAATGAGGGTTCATATTAAGCAAGTATTACTCTTCATAAACTAGTACTGATAAATAGCCAGAACCCTTAAGGGAAAAGAGGATTTAAAACAAAACCAAATCAAAACACACAAGTTTATTTCTCTTTAAAGGAAAATTGCCAAGGATGCAGAAGGAAATGAAGATGATCAAAGATGAGGATGTGCATTTCAACTTGGCTGTGAGGAAGACCCCCTCCTTTCCCCACTGCCTGCAGCCAGTGGTTTCTCGGGGAAAGGCTCCCCAAAGACACCCCTTCCCAGAAGCTCTCCGAGGGCCATTTGCCCAGTTTCGGTATGAACCTCCTCCAGGAGACCTAGATGGGTTCCCCGGGGTCTTCGAAGGAGCGGGGTCTAGGAAACGGAAGAGCATGCCCACCAAGGTGCCCTATAACCACCCTGCAGAAGAAGCCACCCTCGCCCTCCACTCCGAGGAGAACAAAAACCACGGCCTTCCCAACCTCCCTTTGCTGTTCCCGCAGCCCCCGCGCCCCAAGTATGACTCTCAGATGATCGACCTGTGCAACGTGGGCTTCCAATTCTACCGCAGCGTGGAACACTTGGGGGGCAAGACCGTCAAGCAGGAGCCCATTAAGCCCAGCGCCGTGTGGCCCCAGCCGACGCCGACTCCATTCCTGCCCACGCCCTACCCATACTACCCCAAAGTCCACCCGGGCCTCATGTTCCCCTTCTTCGTGCCGTCGTCCTCGCCCTTCCCCTTCAGCCGGCACACCTTCCTGCCCAAGCAGCCCCCGGAACCTCTGCTGCCCCGGAAAGCCGAGCCCCAGGAGAGCGAGGAGACCAAGCAGAAGGTGGAGAGGGTGGACGTGAACGTGCAGATCGATGACAGCTACTACGTGGACGTGGGCGGCGCGCAGAAGCGCTGGCAGTGCCCCACCTGCGAGAAGTCGTACACCTCCAAGTACAACCTGGTCACCCACATCCTGGGCCACAGTGGGATCAAGCCGCACGCGTGCACGCACTGCGGGAAGCTCTTCAAGCAGCTCAGCCACCTGCACACGCACATGCTGACCCATCAGGGCACGCGGCCCCACAAGTGCCAGGTGTGCCACAAGGCCTTCACCCAGACCAGCCACCTGAAGCGCCACATGATGCAGCACAGTGAGGTGAAGCCGCACAACTGCCGCGTGTGCGGCCGCGGCTTTGCCTACCCCAGCGAGCTCAAGGCCCACGAAGCTAAGCACGCCAGTGGGCGCGAGAACATCTGTGTGGAGTGCGGCCTTGACTTCCCCACCCTGGCCCAGCTGAAGAGACACCTCACCACGCACCGAGGCCCCATCCAGTACAACTGCTCCGAGTGCGACAAGACCTTCCAGTACCCGAGCCAGCTGCAGAACCACATGATGAAGCACAAGGACATCCGGCCCTACATCTGCTCCGAGTGCGGCATGGAGTTCGTGCAGCCGCACCACCTCAAGCAGCACTCCCTCACCCACAAGGTACCGCGGGGCCCCTGGTGGGGTGGGCGGGGCCTTGGGAAGAGGAGTGGGGCCATGAGCAGACCCCTGGGGAGCAGGACGCCTGTGCCGCTCTGCATCTGACCCCGAGGAGCTGGGCAACCCCGGATAAGCCGTCCCTTGGCTAAGCCCTGAGGTCCTTCCTCACGTTTAAATAGGAGAGAAGGATTCTCAACCAAACCCTTTCCCCCACCAGCCTTCTAGACTCTAAGGTAGGCCTAGAAATAAATAATGCAGACGTTTGCAGAGGAGGATGAGGAAGGATGCTCCCTAGCCTCCAAGAATCTTGCAGATTCTGCTTCTAGAAACTTCATCCAAGGCACTAGAATGAGTGTGTCATCAGACCCTAAATCAGCTCTGTGCCTGGGATGTGCCAGGGAGCACCTTCTGGAGAATTCTCTTGGTCTCGTAGTGTTGAAGCAGTGGAAAACAACTTTTTGCATTGTTTTCTCCCTCAACTGTGAGACCCGCTTCATATGCAAGCTCTCCAAGGGAAGCAGAGCTTGGCCAAGGCTGGCAGGGCCTATGCCTCCCTGTGTTGAACCCGTTCCTAGTTGGGTGAAGGGCCCTGTGGTTTATATTGTAGGAGGCATGAGAAAGCATCCTTCTCTGGTTTTGTTTGATCTTCTCCGTGCTCAGGTCTTCAAGGGGAAATACAGGCCCAAGAGTCTAAGTTCAGCCCAGTTTGCAAACATAGCCCTAGAGTCATTCAGCCTGAACTAAAATAAGGCCCTAGTGGTGTCCCTGAAATCTTACCTCAGCTAAACTATGGAAACTGCTTTGAGCCTCCAAGAGGGAGTTTTGCCCCCACTGACTCCTACTCTCACACCCTTAACCTCAAGTGGTTTTCTTGGCAGGAAAGACTTCTAGCAAGCCAGAGCTTCTAAAGCATTCTTTAATTCTGAAAGGTCAGCAGAGGACTTTGCCCAGTCAAGATAATGTTTCTCTGTGCTATAATAGGTTTCACTTGTTAGGTTAGGACAACACACAGGGTATTTTCTGGCTCTGCAGCTGAGATGAAATGTGTGGCTGCCTTGTGGGCTCTGCACAAACAGGTCCTGCCCTACAAAAGGCACCTGTAGATACCATCCAAAGGGGAATCACCTGCCAAGTGCAGGAACCATCAACAAAGGACCCAGACTGGGATTCAGTCGCAAGGGGGACCATTCGCTAACTTCAGGGGCTCCTTTATATGTGGGAAAGGAATCAAAAGTGCATTTTAGAGTATATAAAGATCCTGTAAGATGGTAGAAAATGAAGTCAAAACGGGAGAAACAGCCTGGTGTCTGAAATAAGTTTCATTTGAATTAGAAAACAAAATATATTTTAATGAGAGGTGTAAGCAAACAGTGAGAGGTAGTATTTGTTGAACACTTGCTGTATGACAGGTGTTTCACTCTTTATTCAATCCTCATTTACTTCTCAACAACTCTAAGAGCTACTCCCCATCTGCACTTGAAGACACTGAGGCATGGCAGGTCACTCAGGAATCTCTGGCACAGGCATCTGTGCCTTGGCCACTCTATGGTGAGCACTTCCTCTTTTCCACCTGCTTCTCTGTTCACACCGCTGACCACCTGACAGACTCCGACTCTGTGATTCCACTGATCTTATCAGAGAAATAACAGCTTCCTTTGTTGCTTCAAAGTTGTGTCCAGGCTCCTGCTCATTTGCATTCTAGGCCAGCCCACAGGTGAATCTTACTTTGGACACAGAATTCTCTTTAAAGAATTCTGAAAACAGTGATAAAAAAATTCTCCTTGGTTTCAGGACAAATGGATCAGAGCCAAGCCCAGAAAAAATCTTGAGAGAAGAAAGATGCTAAAATAAAATTTAAAATCCATTAAGAAAATGTTTTTCATAAATTTTATAATTTTAAACTCAGTGTTTAAATATGCACTACATTTTAAAAATTCATCTCCTTAGGCAGAATCAAAGTTGAATTTCTAAAGGAGGTTGATTTCTAGGTCTCCTTATTAATATAAATGCATACTCATGTAACATCATCTGGACTAGACAGTGCTTGAGTTAGAAAGAACCCCAGGGTTCTCACGACCCACCACTTCATCTTGAGATGAGAAGCCTTCATTAAAAAAAGCCACAGGACTCATCTAAGGTTTTACAGTCAGGGAATAGACAGGCAGAGACCTGAATCCACCCTTTAGTACCATGGGCCCGCCAGAACTGCAGAGTGATTCTTTCTTACCTTGACTCAAAGTAAAGAAATGGAAACATAGACAGAGAGAGTCAGAGATGAGCTTAGAATCCCTCCTTCCCTCCTTCAGCCACTATGACTATCAGGCAATATGGATTTCATCAGGTACAGTTGTTAACTAAGCAACTTGTTCCAATCCTATGGTAACTTTCAGTTTAGTGCCCTGGTTCTCTAAATTTTTGTTCCCAAAAGTCATTCTGGGTCAAGACCTCTTGCAAAGGCCTTTGCGGGGAAGTAATGGATAGTCAGGATTAGTGAATGCCCGGCTTAAGCTGTGAGTCCCTGTAAATGCTCTCAATTAAGGGCCTTGGTTCAAACACACCTTCATGCACAGAAAGGAAACAAGAAAGCCTCCTGTCCTGTTCCTTAATGCAGAAAGCTATCTCTTGCCAAACTTCTTTATAAGAAGGAGCTGGCTTAGGGGAGGCTCCATAACCATGTCATTGTGGAGGTCAGTGTGGCCTGTGGGAACCCAGGGGACCAGCTTGAGAGGGTGATTATCAAGTTGTAATTTACTGAAGTGTGGATATAAGATGTTCTGGGATTTTCAAGTCCGTTAATGAGAACCCAAGAGAACACTGGTTTCCATCGAGTAAATAATAATATCATTTTGGAAGATTTTATTTTTTCATTATCATGAAAGCTGGATTATAGACTCGTATTGCATATCAGCCCACAGTGCTCTTAACAAAAGCCTGTTAATCCTCAAGAACTATCACTAGAGACTTAACCCCAGCAGCAGCTGGAACAACGAAAGCAATAGCTTTCTTTTCCTCTAACAGCCTGGCTAGTTTATGGTTTTCAGAAGGGGAAAAAAAGGATTATATAATCAACACTTTTCAAGAAAATAGCAATTTAACAAGGCTGAAGCTACACCATTTGAAACTCAACATCTATCACCAAGCTCTTTGTGGATTGATGTAGCAGAGAGGAAAATGAAGTCTATGATCCTGATGAAAGCATGCTACCTGTCAATCACCACTTTTCTGAATCTTCCCTCCCTGCAGGGTGTGAAGGAGCACAAGTGTGGAATTTGTGGGCGGGAGTTCACCCTGCTGGCCAACATGAAGCGACACGTGCTGATCCATACCAACATCCGCGCCTACCAGTGTCACCTCTGCTACAAGAGCTTCGTGCAGAAGCAGACCCTCAAGGCACACATGATCGTCCACTCTGATGTGAAGCCTTTCAAATGCAAGGTGGGCAGTGGGACTTGAGAGGAACCAGAGAGTTGCGCAAATGCCTGATAGGAAAGGGTCCCCAGGGAGCCTTCTACTCTATTTCATCAGTGGGGCTACGGGGGCTCAGAATAGGTCCGTGGCCAACCCCAGGTCCCATCTGCCACTCTGCGCCTCTGCACATCCCACTTATGTCATGCCAGGCTGGAGGTCCCTAAGGAGCCTGCCCTGTTTGTCTCACTATGGCATCAGTGCCCAGGGGTGGAGCCAGGCACGAGGGAAAGGTCTGAGCGTGGAAGGCCCTTTTGAAGAAGGAGGCTGTTAAGGGCTGCAGGTGATGTGGAGAGCCTTTGTTTTAGAGAGGAGAAAGCAAGTTTAGCCTTCTGCTTACAAGGCAATGAACAGGAAATAGAAAGGAGTCAGAGAAGCTTCTAGCACAGCCTCCCCCCTGCTGCTGCCTCCACTCCTCTCCTTGCCTCTTGACACTTGGGCTGAGCCATATGTATACTTTGAGGGCAGGCCTCCCAGAGAGGATGAGAGGGACTTCAAAGCTAGCCCCTCAGAGGCCCTCAGAAATGCTTGCTGGGGCTGTGGAATAACTGTGAGCACAGTCACTTCAAGTGCCTTTCACCTACTGCTAAGTGCCATGTAGCACAGGGATGGAGCATCTTAGTTAAAATATCTGTTAGACTAATTTGGTTGAGTTTGTATTTCATCAGCTGAGAAAATGTGTGAGCTGGAGATTGGTAAAGCCCAAGGCGCTGATGGGCATTACTCGGAAATGCTCTGGCTCCCCGAGGCTGTCCCCACCCCACAAGAGTGTTTCCTCTCTCTACTTCTAAAATGAGGAGAGAGCATTGGCCATGACTGGGTTTAATCCGAGTGATGTACTGGCCAAGTGTCATCCGGTCATGAAGAAGGCTGAGGGGGAAGAAGAGGGAAATTACCACATTCAGATATCATTAGAGCCCTTCTGTTTGAAATGGAGGTTTTCTCTCTGTGCTACTGGGTGCCTAATCAGGTTCAAATGATACTCTGCTGATCCACACTCCTGAAGTGGGGTTCCCTGCTTCCAGGGGCTGTTCCTGCTTTAATACCTCTGCAGTGTGGCCCCACTTGAAGGAATCCCCTGTGAAGCTGACTTCTTTCCTGTGTTGGCAACTCTTGGAAGGGGTGAGGGGTCAGACACCAGAGCTTCCCTAGACCTGTGTGGGCATTGTCCAGAGGTGGGAGAGGGAGGCTTCTCCCTCCAGTCCTTTTCCTGCCACCCACTTCTGTTTCCCCTCCTTTTCTTCATGTTCCCAGTGGTTTGAAAGTCAATTTACATCCGTCTAAAGCGAGAGTCAGCTTCGTGCAGGACAGGCCACATATTTTTCAGGACTCAGTGCAAAATGGAAATGCAAGACTCCTTGTACAAACATTACTGGGAGTTTCAAGATGATGAAAGCAGAGCATTAAGCCAAACTCAGGAGCTTTCTGACTATGGGACCCTGTGTGATATGCCCATGAAGTGAGGCCTTGGCTGCATGCAGCGATGGACTCCATAGCCTCCTCTTCTCTCTCTCTTTGGGGACTTCTTTCATTTCCTTCCCACTTCATTGAGCCCCTAGAGCACTTCACATTTCACAGAGCTATTTCATCTTGTAAAGGGTTTGCTGTCTCCTACAATGGAGTTACAAGCAGGTCTCTTTGCCATTCTTCATTCCTTATGTTGAGTTTACTCTTGGGCTTCAAGCATTAACTGAATTTTTTATCTTATCAACTGATGGTGGTGGAGCAAAGTTGTTAAAATATGAAGGGAGCCATTAGCATAGTTTATAATCCCCTGAAAATTCACATCTGTCCAGTCAACCATCTCCTACCTCCACCTCGTCAATTCTGGTCCAGTGGTAGTGGTAAAACCAGGCAGAAAATGTTCCTGAAATATAAGGTTACGTCAGCAGGCAAAACGAATGTAGGCTGTGTGTGGCTTGAGGATACAGAGGCATTCTGCTTCTCTACCCTCAGGGGCTTGGAGGACTTCTTGGACCAGGTAGTATCTGAGGATCTGGAGGGTTCTCTCTAGTGTCAGTGCGCAAGAGACTGCAAGGTGCTATGTAACCTGGGCCCTTGATGCAATGAGCAATCCCAGCTTGATGTTTAGCTTCACGAACGATGGCTCCTTCCTCCTCCACTCCAATGATGATGCATCTACATGGTCCAAAGGGTGTCAGATGGTCAGCTTTACAGTTCAGAAACTGTTTTATCCATTTCTTGAGGTTAGATTAGGCTCCATGTCTGGTCCACACCATCAGAACCCATAAGAGAGTGGTTCATAATGTAGAATGACAGCTTTGAAACAATGCTCCCCTTATATTTTACAATGAGAGAGATGAGCCTGGCGCAGGAATTGGACTGGTCATTTGCAAAGGTTGCTTCTTCCTATTGGTAAGTCCTCTCAGGAGACCACACTAGAGGTCAGGAGGCTCCCTAGAGAGTGTCATCTATCATCAGACAAAAAGAACTGGATGTGAAAGGGCATTCTTGTCAAACAATGGAGAAGGTGGGCCTTCTCCATTCTTAGCCATTTGTGAAGCAAGAACAAGTGTCAGCCACCTTGACTCACAGCCCTCTGTCTCCGAGACAGTCCTCAAAGCATACAGTCAGGGCCTTCCTCTCCCTGTCCCCATCTCCTGTCAGTGTCACCCTGCTGGGTGCCGTCTTTGTACCATTGCCCTTCTTCATTTCAACAGACTTGCAGAGCATGTCTGGATTTACAGATTATGTCACAAGGCTCTTTGCATTTGTAAACTAGCTCCGGGTCACACTGTGGGGTGAGCCATCTCAAGATGCTGTCCAGTGGTTCTTGCTTCCCAACTGTGCTGTGCTAGATTCTTGGAAATTCGGCCTTGGGTGAAGGTTGTTGGGGATTTGGGAGTTGACAGAGGGATGAAGGGCCATTTGCCCGTTGCAATGCTGTTCACAGTCATCTGAGAGACATGGCTGGCTGGCTGCTCCGTGGTGTTGGAGGACAAGCCCAAGCAACTGAACTTGTGTTTTGTTGCCGTAACAGGGAAGAGCCATCCACTTCCTGTCCCGTGATTGACATGGCTGGGCAGAGAGGCAGTCTTCACTCTCTCCTTTACCCAAAAACTCACAGCAAGGAAGAGGCTTTTAGCAACCGATTCTAATTTTTTGGGATTCTCACCATTAAAATTCCTTCTTAACATACATCGTTCCTCCTGTCTCAATGTGAACTGATCTTCTCCAGGCCTGTGCTCAGTGGAAACAGCTGTCCCTAGCAAGCAGAAATGTTCACTCACTGTGGGATTAGGCATTAACAATAGGATGGAAAATTAGAGGAGAGGAAAGGTTTCCATTCCATGTTTCTTTTCTTTTTTTCGTTATAAAAAAGTTACTGCCCTTCTGGGCTCTTTTGCTATTGGCTGGACTTCTGGACTCGTGCTTCTTGGAGCCAGCTGGAGTTTTTCCAGAGACCTGCGCCTGTAGACTTAAGCCACTTTTCAGAAATATGCTTCCCAGATTCTGGGTAAGCACACAGGGGTTGATTTGGATCCTATCCTTGTGGTGGCCAAACTCCATCACAGCAAAGAACCAGCTGCCGTCTTTGGGAAACCTGTCCAGGAAAAGCAGCCGTCCAGAATTTCCGGGACAAATTCTCTTTTGAGATGGGTGAAGCCGGGAGCTGCCTGAGTTATGAATCACCAGGTCATCTGAAACCTTGTCTGTAGCATAAGACTGAAGGCCAGAGGGCAGAGCTGTCAGAATAGGGATGAGGTCTCCCCGCGGAGGGGCCCACCACTGTCGTCAAACTGGCTCCATTTTCCCCTCACTTTCTTTGACGCTCCAAGAAGGAAGAAACCAGATGCGGGGCTTTGAGGGGCCCAGTGCTTGGGGTCAGAGTTTTCAGGCTGGCATGGAGGGGGTTAAGGCAGTGACCAGATAGCAGCCTTTGGCAGCAAAGCCCTCCTCAGCAGAAGGAAGGATATAGCTGTATGAACTGCCTGCTTAACAATGCCTCACATGTCCCCAGGGGCCCGCCTGCAAATAGATTTCATCTTGCTTTCTCTTGTACTTTTCAAAGCTTCCTGTTTTCTCACGGTCCTTTTGGACAGTTTACAGTCTCTCTCTCCCTCCCTCCCTCTCTCTCCCTTTGAGGAAAGGAACACCCTTCTTATTAAAAGAGAGAGAGGGAGAAGAATGTGCGGGAAGGGCAGTTTCACGGAGGCCATTCTCCTCAGCTGCAGGCCACAGCTCTCTGACCTCTTCTTTCTGAATAGGAAAACACAGGCTTCCTGGTGCATCTCAGTTCTGAAGCTCACACCAGGCTGGCTGGGGCGAGGTAGTGTGCCGCTTCTGGCCCCAGCCCAGGGGCTGCCCGCACTATCACCCTGTCTGTGACCACGGCCGACTTCTCCATGGCTGTCAGCATGGCCACTGGGGTTCATGGCAACTGCCCAAGGTGCCTCCAGGACCTGGACCAGGGAGGAGAAGGGTGCCAGGAGGCTGGGATGAGGAGGCCCGGAGCACACGGGCATCCGCCAGCTGTTCAAAGGGCAGACTAAGAATTGGGAAGCCAAATAACTCTGCCCTCTCCCAGCCCTGAACCTTGGATGGAGCTTCTCTTTCCATCAGTTCCCAGACCTGGGGCAGGCACAACCGCTTACATTTCTACTACACTTCAAGCAGCCTAGTGGGTATTTAGTCAGCGGATTTCTTATTTGGCTCTTTCTTTAATATTCCCCTCATCTTCAAAGACCTTTCCATTTCTGGAATGTAAAAGAATCTACTATATACACAATAATGATAGTAAAAAGAGCTAATATTTATTGAGTTCTTACTATTTGCCAAGCCCTTCTTGTGAATTATCTCACTTGATCCTCACAACAACCTTCAGAGGAAACGATGATTATTATCAACATTATACAGAAGAGAAAATGGAGCAAGCTCTCTGTCCTTCTGGGTCTGCACCTCTGCTCTCTACTCTGACATCTCAAAGCCTAATAACCCATGCGACCCATGTTTAAAGGGCACTTTAAAATATTTGTTTCCATTTTTTATTAAATTTTGAGGTCCATCTCCACCTCAAAAAGTGGGTGGATGGAGAAGCTGAGATTTCACGTTGAAACACACTGACGGTGCTCCTTGGAGCGACTGAGAGGTCAAGCGGGGGCACTCTGGTGGAGAAGCGCACCTGCGCAATGAGATCAGAGTCCTCCCCACTTCAGTGGCTTCCTGAACCAACATCCACTCCTATTTTCATCTCCACAGACCTTGGCAGAGATGATTCAGCAAGTCCTGCTTGGGCACACTTTTAGCTTCACATCGCATGATTTAAGGAGGCCTTGACTTCAATGGCTGCTTTTCTCTGGAGAAGAAGCTAGAGATTTGGTGGTCCCTCCCATCCATTGCTCCTCCCTCTGGTCTAACTGCCCTCCCCTACTGTGACAATTCTGCTTAGGGCTTACATCTCAGACTCCACCCAAGAGCGCCGTGATTCACTGGCCCCATCCTCTTTCTCTGGCCTCTCTTTACTAACAGTGTCTGAGAGGTTTCTCTCTTGAGTTTCACAGACATAAAATACCTCCATACACTTGGGTGTTTTCACATGAGGACAATCTTCTGAGAAAGATGAGGTGGCCAAGTGTTCTGGATAAGAACCAAAAGGCTTGGTGGAGAGTCAGAGGCTGAGAGGAAGAAGCTAAGTACCTACCGCCCAGATGTGAGTGGAGCCCGAGTATCTCAGGTCCTGGGTTAATTGACTCTATCCTGCCACTGAGGAGTTTGGTTTGAAAATGAATAGGTTTTGTGGAAAAAGGATGAGAGCTGGTGATGGCTGCTTTTTAGAATTTTGCATGAAGTAATGCTATTTCCCTGACTTGTTTATTTCCCCAATCAAAGACTTAGGCATTCATGAAGTGTACTATATGTGTAGTCCTGTGCTTGATACTGAGTTGGCTACGAAGAAAAGGAAGTCAGCTTATTGGAGACTACCTGGGATGCTGTTTAGAGCCCAGATACCGTTTTACTAGGTGCACACCTCTGTGCATGGAGTTGGGGAAGGGAAATAGATGGGACACTGGGGCAGGTGAATTGCAAGGTCTGTAATACCCCAAGGTCCCAGAAGGTGTGGCAGCAACAAGAATTTGATTGAAGTGTCTGAAAATGTCTCATGAAGAGACTTTATCTTTGTGTACAACAAAGTGCACTTTACACATTTTTCATGGTTAGGCTAAAATTCCATCCCCTTTACAAAACCTTCTCAGACCAGTTCAGCCTCTAAGGCTTCAGCAACCACAGATAATAACTGAAAGAAGAATTTCTCTCATCATGCGAGCCAAGTGCAGAAGGTGCTTGTCACTTCTTTTCAATGGACTCTTTCTGGCCTATAGGACCACGAGACCCCGTTCATGCCTGGACTGGTATACTAGCCTAATTGATCTTCTGGCCTTCAGCTTCTCTCCCCCTACATGCCTTGTCCTTAACCACTCATGGCTTTTCATTTGATCCGTTCTTCCGTGGCTGTGTTTCCCACCCCTTTCCTCACTCAGCAGATGCTTACTGAGGAACTATGATGTGTCACACCAATACTAGGCAGATAATAAATAAAAAAGCAGACAAAGCTTCAATGCATGTTGCAGTCTCCTGAGTGAAAATATATATGAACCAAATACTGGTTATGCTCAGCAACTGTAACAGCAACTTCACTCCAAATAACCAGGAACCATCCCACAATCCAAATAAGGTATGCTTTTTCTAAAAATGACCCATGACTGGAAATTCTTAATGTAGAATCTCTAGCTTCAAAGCTTCTTTTTGGCCTAGCATGGTGGCTTACCCCTGTAATCCCAGCACTTTGGGAGGCTGAGGCAGAGGGATCACTTGAGGTCAGGAGTTTGGGACTGGCCTGGCCAACATGGACAGAGAAAGCCCATCTCTACTAAAGACAGAAAAATTAGCCAGGCACCTGTAGTCCCAGCTACTTGGGAGGCTGAGGCACAAGAATCTCTTGAACCTGGGAGGTGGAGGCTGCAGTGAGCCAAGATGGTACCACTGCACTCCAGCCTGGGCAACAGAGCGAGACTCTGTCTCAGAAAAAAAAAAAAAAAAAGACAGCTTTCAGCCATGATGGTGGAGAAGTGGGCAAATTAAGCTAATAAGCATAACTCTAATAGAACTTTTACACATATGCATGACTGAGCCACAGATTGATACATCTTAATAAATTATCTCAATTGAGAATAAAAGAGTCATCTATCCTGCATATTGCTTCTCTTGCGAAAGTTGGAGTTAGACCAGTTCTGTCATCCTTTTCTCCTCTTAGGTCACCATTTTCAAATGAATGTGGCATGCAGATGCTCTGTCTGGATGCTGAGCTTGGAACCCCACCCAGTAGGCCAAATTCATTCATGCTAGTAAGAGAGAGCAAAAGCAGGGAAAGTACTTACAATTCTCAAACATGAATCATTCAAGAATACAGAGCCAGCCATTCATTGTCCATACATGGACCCAGCATTCTTCTAGGCTAAACTCCCCAAATCATCATTGGAGAGGTCTATCTACTCTTGCAAGACGAACTCAACACTCATCTTCCGTAGCCAACTAATGAAATTGTTGCCTTCATCAATAAAAATTTAATCCAGAATCTTCAACATTGGCCCTAAAAATATATCTCAGTGGGGAAGGAAAACTGGTGTAAGCTCAGAGGATGCCTCACCCTGAGGGTCTCTGTGGCCTCTCTCATTACGTAGTGCTGCCCCAGCTCCACTGGCCTCTGAGGTTGGGGAGGGAAGGAGAATTCTTCTCTCGTAACATTCTTGTCCAATCACAGACACAAAATCACTGTTTGCATTCCTCCTACCACAGCCTGAAATTTTCCTGTTCTAGTAAGGCTGGGGACAACAAAAGCTCCCCCAAAGCAGTCTGCTTCTGGGTTCCTCTTTCTGCATATACAAAATCACCTGTGAGAAGAAAGTTCTGCTCTTCTTCCAAAAGCAGTTGGAGAACCAGTTGTCCTTCATGTATTTGCAGTTCGATTGAAATAGAATGATGAGAAAGAAAGAGTAAAACATGTTTACTTTTTGTACACTCTCACTACTTCAAATTTCTACCCAGAGAAAAGACACATTCCTTCCTGAGATGATTTCTCATTTTTTTAACTTTGAAATCCATACCAGTAATTAGAAAATAAAGCAATTTAAAAAGCATTGTGTGATACATCATATATAATAATACAGTGTATTCTTTTATTCTCTTCTGCCTGATACAGAAGAGTTGTGCTGGGAGACACACAATGTGGTCTGGTGGTTGACCATGTGGCCTCTGGCGTCTGATGGCCTGAGTTCATTAACCCAGCTTCAGCACCCACTACTTGTGTGCCTTGGCCAAGTGACGTAAGTCCTCAGATTGTGCATCTGTAAAATGGGGATGGTAACAGCCACCATCTCATATGATTGGTGTGAGAATTAAATAAGATATTCCATGGTAGACTTAGAACAATGCCTTCCATATTGCAACTGCTGCATAAATATTAAACACATAATCACATTCTTATTATTAAAGGAGGAACACTCGTAGCCACTGCTTTTCAGATCAGCTCTTCTCCTTTTCCAAAGCTTTCATTCAAAAGAAGTTTTACAAGCTTTGATATTTTTACTTTGTATTTAAAGGTTTCTAAACTCCAGGGACAAATCTCATGAATCTACCCCTACTTGCTCCACCTTTGAGGCTCCTTCCTGATTTCCTTATGGACATTTTCCTTGCAAGTAGATTAAAATGTCAAGGTCCAAACAAAGTAGAAGCGGTATCTGTGCTCCAGGGGCCTGGATGGGGCTTCACTCAGGCAGAGTAACCTGTGTTCTCATTCCCATCTTTGACAGCTTTGTGGGAAGGAGTTCAACCGGATGCACAACCTGATGGGCCACATGCACCTGCACTCGGACAGCAAACCCTTCAAGTGCCTCTATTGCCCAAGCAAATTCACCCTGAAGGGGAACCTGACACGCCACATGAAAGTCAAGCACGGAGTCATGGAGCGGGGCCTTCATTCCCAAGGTAATCACTCTTCTGGGAAGCCCCGCGAGTCAGTCCAGTGGACAGCAAATGGGAGCTGAGTTCATTTTATGGGGCATTACCTTGAGGGTTACTCTTGTCAAGACCACAGCAGAGTAGCAGGAGTAGCCTTCTAATGTTACTAGAAAAAAATCTGATGCTAATTTCTGAAGGTAGTAAGTACAAGTGAATTAGAGTAAATAGGACTGTCATCATGATGCCAGTTGGTACCATTATTGGTTCCTTTGTTCCAGACACTACATCAGGTGCCTTGTCGCTAATATTCATGGCAACTCCAGGCTGGAAGAACTTCTATTATTTCTATTTTACAGTGGGGCAATGAAGGCTTCAAGAGATCAGTTTGCCCAAAGTTGCTCTGCTGAAAAGTGGCAGAGTCAAGATTTGAACCTAGGCCTTTCTGACTCTGCAGACTTTATTGTACCCACTTCATGGCATTGCTGTGAATGGAAATGCAATTTTTCTTTCCTTTTTAGAAAACAGATGTGCAAGCCCTACTGTTAGCAGAACTATGTTGGTAGCAGGCTAGGTGTTTCCTACTTGTTCATGACCAGACACACCCAAGGACAATTTTCCTGCTTGGTAGGTAGGGCTGATTGGCCCATATGCAGAGCCGGGGTCTACACCTCCCCCACTGAGTCCTCACTGAACTAATGAAAAGTTCTTACCACCTTTACCTTCTCAGTCCCAGGGCCCTTGGGAGTGAAGAGTTTATGTTCCAGATCTACTGAATTCAGCCGGGTTGCTCCTTAACTGACTAATCAACCAGTCCTTCAATAAACAGGCAATAAATGCCCCTGTGTCCAAAGCAGTGAACTACACGCAGCAGCAGATACTAGGGGAAGGAAACCATCTGCCCTCTAGGATGTCTGTGCATGGGGAGAGAAGACAATTTTATGTGTAATTTACAAAATCATCTTAACAGCTTTTCGGTCACTAGTATCATCAAAGCACAGGGTGAGACCCCTTAGGGACATTATTGCTTGGCCCTACAATGCCATGAAAGAGACTATGTTATTCTTATTTTGTATAAGAGGAGACCAAGGCCTAGAGATGTTAGATAAACTGCTCAAGGTCAAACAGCAAGTCTGAAGACAGAACTGGGATTCCAGCTTAATTTCTGAATCAAGCCAGTGCTCACTACCCTAGGCAGAAACATGGGGTGATTTGTTTGTGTGCTGTTTCACTCACCTCCCTACAAAAGAGATGGTCGAGTGGGTGAGCATATTCATAAATAGATACACATATGCACACACAGTGTGAAACAAAATGGTTGTAGCTTTCAGGTTTTTCACAGTACCTACTGAGTTTCTAGTGACTCCTGGATGACAGGGAGCTGTGGTCACAAAACAAGGGCTGGAATTTGTTCAAAAGCCCTGAAAAAAAATGTAGTTAAAACAAAAACAATTTTGTTTTTCCTACAAACTTTTTTCTCTTGAATTATTCACTGAATCTCTAGTTGCCTGAGCCACTTCCCCAAGCTAGGCCTGGATTTTTCCAGAAGAAGTGAGGTTTGCTCTGTCATCAGGATGGGAGACATACAAGTCAATGAGGAGACCACACTCCATCTGAAAGCACGAACTGGTTGCCATGACTTACCCCACACTGCTGCTCAAATCCTAAAAGGCACCTAACAGCTCTGTTGTTCTGGAAAAATAACTGTCAGAGGGTTGCTTTGAAAAATTTTAACAGACTTTCAACAATCTTAGTGTTTTCATCTACAAAGGGTATTAGCTTTTATTTTTCACTCTAGCTTTTGAAATCGCTCAAAAATCATTAAAAAGATCTTTCCTGTCCCCTGACAAGATTAAAGATACAGACAGTTTCGTTGCCTGACAGCATCGAAAAGTGAACACAATTGAACATCATCGCCCCATCCTTCTTTTTTGCACCCCGCTCCCAGAAGCCTGGTCTAGCTGCACCCCAGGACCCCTCCCTTGCTGTTGCTCGTCCTCAGTGTCCAGCCTGTCCCTGGAGGCCTGCCTATTGACTCATCAAAGGTCAAGGTCTTAAAGATAGGATCAAATGAAACTGCCATGCTGAAAAGCCCATCCCTACAGCCCTGCAAACTGAAGCTCAAAGTGAGGCTTCCTTGAATCACTGTGCCCAACAGCAGGGACACTGGTGGTCAGACACAGGGGCTGTGTGAGCTCCTCAGAGGACCTCTTCGTGCCACCTCTACCCTGTCTATGAGTAGGCTGTTGGCATAGGGGCCACAGTCCTGGGGTGGTGTCTGCTGCCCCAAATGGGATATCTTTGTTTTGTTCAAGATGAAAATGCCTTTATTATTGATTTACTTTTTTTATGATAAAACGTATGCTCATGGTAAAAAATAAAACAAGAGTACATTAAAAGTGAAAAGAGAATGTTTGTTTTAAGATTTTGACATACTTCTTCAAGACATTTTTTGATAGAGATGGCTAGCTAGATAAAATCAGGTCTGCACTATAAATAAACACGCACACACAAACTTACATATATATTTTGTTTTTACTTAAAATACATAGCAAATATCTTTTTGTGATCATTAGTAGGTCTCCACATCACCTATGCATGGTTCACTATATGGATATATCATTATTTATTTAACCAAACCTCTATTATTAAATACAAAAATTTTTCACAGTTTGACTGTGATAAAAAATATGGTGATATGCATCCATACACGTGTTTTGTGCACCTGCCTGCCTATTTTTTCAGTTTACATTCTCAGTAGCATAATTGCTAAGTCAAAGCTTATTTTTAAAGCTTTCGGTGGATGTTGCCAAATTCACCTTAAAGGGATTAAACCAATGTGGACACTGTCTGTGACAAGCCTCCCATGACCACATCCTTACTGGGAATGATCTGTTTTTAAAATACGCAATCAGAATACATTAAACGGCCCTGGGCTGCTCCCCTTCCTCAAGGTTCCATTGCCCCAGCATTTCCTCAGGTGCATGAATTCTTACTCTGCTCTTGTAGGTCTGGGAAGGGGGAGAATCGCCCTGGCACAGACAGCCGGTGTCCTGAGGAGTCTGGAGCAGGAGGAGCCCTTTGACCTCTCTCAGAAGCACCGGACCAAGGTGCCCATGTTCCAGTCAGACGGGGAGAGTGCCCAGGGCAGCCACTGCCACGAGGAGGAAGAGGAGGATAACTGCTACGAGGTGGAACCCTACAGCCCTGGCCTGGCACCCCAGAGCCAGCAGCTCTGCACACCCGAGGATCTGTCCACCAAGCCAGAGCATGCACCGGAGGTGCTGGAGGAAACCTGCAAGGAGGAGAAGGAGGATGCATCCAAGGAAGAATGGGAGGAGAGCAGCAAGGGCGACCTTGGGGCAGAGGGTGGCCAGGAGAGAGACTATGCAGGCAGAGATGAGTGTCTCAGCCTCAGGGCTTTTCAGAGTACCCGGCGGGGTCCCTCTTTTTCTGATTACTTATACTTCAAGCACAGAGATGAGAGTTTGAAAGAATTACTGGAGAGGAAAATGGAAAAACAAGCAGTGCTTTTAGGTATCTAAGTGGATAGTTTTAAAATTACATTTGGAAAATGAGAACGAGGCAGTTCAAATATAGCTTTCTGCATGAACTGTCATTTTCTGGAGACTGGCAAATAGTACCAATCTCTACAAATGGCTTAGACTAAATGAGCAGGGATGTAGGTAATGGAAAGCCTTCTCAGGTCATTCACGGGGCCCTTGATACCCTTCACACATGTGCAGGGTCTTCTTCAGTGGTGTTTGATGCATCGCCAGTATAGTAAACTGTGAGTATTCTTCTAGATATCTAATCGTAAGCTGATGCTGAGGTGCTTTTAGAAATTCTACTTTCCTCTGATTTATATGCAATACATGGTAAATTTCTAATTGCAAAAATATGGTGCTTGAGGTGTCACCTTATTAATAACTAGGTGAATCCGTGAAGGTTATAATATTTTCCAGATAGATGAAAATATTAGTAGTTGTATATATAAAAATAGCCTTTATTCTAAACCAAAAATGTCAGAAATGGCACAGGAGGATGAAATGTTGAAGAGAATGCTCTCAAGTAGTTGCTGCAGATATAAGGTAAAATTTCAGGAGAAGAATAATTTTGACTAGGGAAACTGGTGACCTAGAATACTTAGATTCTCTTGTTCTATGTTGGCTGTCTTCATCAGATTGAGCATTTGGAGCATTTTTTTATCAGATGCTCTGATGATGTTCAGGGTCCTGGTTCCTCAGACAAACCCCCACTTCTCAAGCAGAGCTCCCTCCTGGAGACCATTGCTGTCTTGCTCTGAGGCCTCATGCCGCATAAGACAGAGGCAGGGGCCGGGCGCAGTGGCTCACGCCTGTAATCCCAGCACTTTGGGAGGCCGAGGCAGGCAGATCACTTGAGGTCAGGAGTTTGAGACCAACCTGGCCAACGTGGTGAAACCCCATCTCTACTAAAAATACAAAATTTAGTCAGGCGTGATGGCGGATGCCTGTAGTTCCAGCTACTCAGGAGGTTGAGGCAGGAGAATCGCTTGAACCCAGGAGGTGGAGGTTGCAGTGAGCTGAGATCATGCCACCGCACTACAGCCTGGGTGACAGAGTGAGTCTCTGCCTCAAAAAAAAAAAAAAAAAAAAGAAAAGGACAGATGCAGGAAGAGTTGTCACCAGTGACCAGGGGGTTTCACCTCAGAGCTAGAGCTGGGGGGTGACCTCAGAGAATTCTCCCAGAAATCTAACCTCTGACTTATTTGGGTTACTAGAATAGTTGACAGCTAATCATAAGTAAAGAAGACTCTGGACTATGTTCTCAGTGCTGGCTGTACATTAGAATCATCTGGGGTGACCTTTGAAAAAAAGACACCAAACTAAGGCCTCACCCATTAAGATTCTGATTTAATTGATCTGGAGTGGAGCCCCAGGACTGGAATTTTCCAGATTGCTCCAGGCAATTCTTATGTGCAGCCGAGATTGAGAAGATTGAGGGGACTAAAATAGAACTCACCATTTCTGTGGCTTCCAGGACACTTCCCAGAGACTTCATAAGTATTTCTGTTCCTAGCCTCAGACTCTTTAAGGTTGAGAACAGGAGACCTCACAATCATACTGCTGACTTAGGCCTTCTTACCTGTCTGTAAGAGCCATATGAGTGGACACACACTCTCTCTATATAGACACACACTTTTGACATTATACTAGAAGATGATGCCTGTGATGTTTATGGTCACTTACTATGTTGAAAAATGCATGGCTGGCCTATGGTGACTCATTATCTCTTCCCAGACTCTTGAACCATGATGCCAGTGAGTGGAAATGACTCTACTGGGTGGGATGGGCCCAGCAGGTCGGCCTTACTTAGGCACTGGCACTGAGAAAAGCAATACTGACCGGGTGTCATGTACGTGTGACTGCCCATAGCAATAACCCTCTGGTACTGTGTCTGTTTATGTAAAAACCTCTTGTTTGGTAGTTTTGACTCTTATTTGTAGAGCTAGGTACTGGTTATTATTGTGCTTCATCCTATCCCAGACTTCCCAATACATTCCTTTAGAAGACATGTCCATCTCCAACTGTTGGAGGCTGGCCTTTTCTGTAGGCCAAGGTTTGCTTCATTAGCCCCACCTGGTTGTCATCACTCACCTGTGTGTTGTGTCCATCTCTGACCCATTTCCCCTGCCATCTTGCCTAAAGCTTCTCCTGTCAGACTCCCCACCACCATGAAGTGCTAAGAGTACTGTGTCCTGAGGTAAGGGCACCTGCAACGGAGATGGTGAAGAGAAGACTGTGGGTTTTTGTGGTTACAAGCACAACTCTGGGTCAAAAACCCATTCCAAGTCCTCAGAGGGGCAAGTCCCTTCCACTCATTATTAATATAGCTCATCAGTACCTCTGATGAAATTGCCCAGGAGGCTGGCAGACTGGCCTGAGAGGCTTCTAGCTCTTAGGGTTCAGTTACACATTTATTCACACTGTGGCCATGTGTTGAGGACCTACTACGTGCTGTGTTTGACCACATGTCCTGCAGAATGCCATTTGGTTCTGAGTATGCCTGGCTGGAATGGGAACCAGGAAATTCTAGAGTAACAGGCTCTATTCCTTTCCAACCAAAACAAACCACATGGGAATGTTTGAGGGACCAGTTAGTGTTGAGATGGAGAGAGTATGGTCTAGAATGGTGGTTTTCAGATTGTGTTTTGAGGAGCCGGAGGTCATCTTTAGGCCTCTGAAAAGTGGTAGGGAGAGGAGAAACTCTCAACTCCCACACCCACCTCACTCCAAGCAGCTCAAGTTCCATCTGATTTATATGTTAGCATTCTAAATAAAATTTTATTTGGAGGGAGTAAAAAGGTCTAGGAGAAATAAAAACAATTTGTTACGGAGTGTATTCCAGTGCCTGTTTTCAGTTGTTGACTCTGGGCATAAGACACTTAATTAGATCTAACCTAATGGTTAATACAGAATTAACCTTCTGAGCACCAAGGCTAAAACCTTGGTTTTGTATGCTGTTGAGTGACCAACATCCTGGTTTGCCTAGGATGATCCTGGTTTAGACCTGTTGTCCCAGGATAATTATTCAAGTGTCACCTTAATTCTCAAAAGTATTCCAGTATAGGTGAGAAATTACATGAACACCTTATGCATGAGCACAGAGTTAAGGGAAGGGTTGGCCAACCTTGCCTAATGAGCTGATGAACCAGAAGGCAAGCCGTGAAGGAGAGTCCATGTGGGCCATCTCAGAGAACTAAGGGATGAAGCCTTCCAAGATTACCAGCATTCCAAAACCAGAATATCACATTGTGAGACTCGGAAAATAGGTCACTACCAAATGCTTTCCAGCCTTTTGACCACTGTCACTTTGAACCAATCAATGGACCAGCCAAGTGGCATATTTTTCTTTTATTCTTTTTATTCTTTCCTATGATTAACCCTCATGTTGCCTTTCAATTCCTCTTTCTCTCTCTTTTTAAAAATTTGACTCCCCATTGGCCATGAGACTAAGGCTGACCTTTCATGAACCCACAAGAGTAACTGGTATATTTGTATATGAGTAGTTGCATGAGAAAGCTCAATGTGCATACTGTATTTATTAAGCCCTGAAGGCATTTAATAAAATATTAACATGGTGTTTTGAATTATGATCTTTGTCTGCTTTGCTGGAACAAAATATAACAGAGCTAACATTTGAAATCCTTCGCATATTTGGACAACATTACACCAAATGTTGATTTTGTACAGAACCCTAGCTTGCTATTTAAAAACTAAAACTCTAAGTATATAGCAGCCCAAGTTGTGAATATTGCTTTCTGCTTCACTGAAAAAGCAGTTTACCTGAAAAGAACATGTAACCTATATTTTGTTAATTTAAGCAAATAAAGACATGTTGAAAAAACTGAGTTAATTATTTGCAGATACCTGAAATTTTGCAAGGTAGCTGCCATTGTCAACATATCACTCCTGCCATCATACCCTTGGCCAGGGTGGTTCCCAGTGCTTGGCTCCTCAGCCCCAGGAATACAAGTGTGTTTGATTCTCCCTCCCTCGGGGCTTCAGAAAGAGATGAATGAATTCCAATCCATCTGCAGGAAGGTGACATCTTCCTCATCCTGTTGCCCTTTCCTATTCAGAAAAAAATTATTCTGGAAGGATGTCACAGGCAAGTGGGAGGTGAAGGCAGAATTGTCTCATTCTGCCTCACATTCTTTGTAAAATGAAGTTCAACAAAAAGGCAGTAGATGCTATAAGCAAAAGCTCAAATTCTGCTCCCAGGTGGCCTGTGTTCAAAGTGTTCAAAGCCCAGCTTTCCCACTTCCAATCTTTGGGACCTGAGACCAATTCATGAACCACTTTGTGCCTCATTTCCTTTTCTGTAAGAGGGGACTAGGAACTCTACCTTTTTCACTGGGTTGTTGAAATGACTTAAAACATGCAAGACACTTGGAATGTGCTGGGCTCATGGTGATGCTCTGTTAAGAATTAGGCACTGCAAGGCTGGGCACGGTGGCTCACGCCTGTAATCCCCGCACTCTGGGAGGCCTAGGTGGGCAGATCACAAGGTCAAGAGATCGAGGCCAGCCTGGCCAACATGGTGAAACCTTGTCTCTACTAAAAATACAAAAATTAGCTGGGCGTGGTGGTGCGTGCCTGTAGTCCCAACTACTCGGAAGGCTGTGGCAGGAGAATTGCTTGAACCTGGGAGGCAGAGGTTGCAGTGAGCTGAGATCGCACCACTGCACTCTAGCCTGGCAACAGAGCAAGACTCCATCTTAAAAAAAAAAAAAAAAGAATTAGGCACTGCGATTGTCAACAATGTGGCCAGAAGACTGAGCACTCAGCTTCCCATCCTCAATAGAAACCTCACAAAGTTGTGTCAGCATGGGGGACTGTCCATTCCTGGGGAGCTTCCCTTTAAAACAGCAAAACTGCAGCACATATTGAACACTGTGATAGGCCAAGCACTGTGCCAGGTGGTTTACATACTCGCAAACATTATCCCTATTTTACCAAGAAGGAAATGGAAGTCCAGGAGAGTGAAATAACTTGCCCCAAATTACCTAGTTGGCAACTTACTCCTTTGTCTGTAGCAGGTAAAGCATATAGCCTATAGCATGTTGGGTTCTCCGGAAGCAGATGCTGAGACAAATTTGGATGGAAGCTACTTATCAAGGATGAATACCAGTAGGAAGAGGGAAGAGGAAAGAAAGGTTGAGCAGAGGGAGAAAGCAACCTGCAGTGCAGCCCTAACAAAGCCTCAGCTACTGTGGTGGGCAGCTCTGGGGGCAAATGTTGCCCATCAGAGTTATGCCAATTTGAACAGAAATGTCCATTCCTCTACACCCCTGCCTGGTTCAGTCACCAGATGTGGGCTTCCCCAGAAAGGGTGTGACTCTCTGCAGCTGGGCCAGACCCTGAGGGAGCTGGCAGCTGGAGGCTGTCTGCCAACTGCACTCTCATAACTCGGATGCAAGTACTTCCTTGAAGAGAGACTGCTCATCTCTGCCTCACCCCAGTCCACTTATTAATGCACATTCATGAAGCATCTCCTGCAGGTTCCAGTGGGCTTCTCTTCCTGATTGAAAACTTAGAAGAGAAGGTGAGCACAAATTTCAGCCCCTACAGCTGCAATGAGTCTAGGGACCAAAAGTGATACTCATTTTCTCTTTCTCCATTGCCCAGTCTAGACTCTCCTCACCATCAGATACCACCTCTGGCAGTCTTGGTGGCTTTCCTAGTGATTTCATCCAGGTTCTCATCTGCAAGAGGTCTGAGCCCTTGTCACCATGCTACTATGGACTGAATGTTTGTGTCCCTCCAAAATTCATATTTTGAAACCATAATCCCCAATGTGATGGTGTTTGGAGATAGGGTCTTTGGGAGGCAATTAGGTTTGGATTAAGTTATGTATGGGGCCCTCATGATGTGATTAGTGCCCTTAGAGGAAGAGGAGGAGACTAGGCCTTCTCTCTCTCTCCCATGTGAGAAGGTAGCAATGCAGCTGTCTGCAAACCAGGAACAAAGCCCTTACCAGACATTGATTCTGCCTGCACCTTGATCTGCACTTCCCAACCTCCAGAACTGTGAGAAATAGATGTTTGTTCTTTTAGCCGCAGAATGAGGTTGCTGTGCCTGTTCATTTAACATCACAAGTAGGCCAGGAAGTACCAAATGAGCCTAAGTAGGTCGTTAGGTTCCACACTATACTTCCTGGCCCACTCTGTAACAACAGCCCTACTTCCTCCTGATGATCAGGTCAATTACCTCTGCCAAGATGGTGACTCCTCTCCTTGTCTTCTGCACCCTGGAGGCAAGGAACAAAAGTGTCTGCAGCTGTAGCTTATAATTTAATGATACTCTTGCTATGTTCCAAGGTGAAAGTGTACCATCTTTGAGGATGGAAGTTTCTAACCTTGCAGAGCCCAGAGTTATGTGATAAGAAGTACAACACCCCCCCACCGCCCCAGGCAACCCGCCAATCATCCCAGAGTGTTATTGGGATTGATGGCAAGTGGGACCACTCCCACTTCCACTCCTGGTCCCTGGACCTATGCAGTCTTTCTATTGGGACATAGCACCATATAAAAGTATTTGATTCAATTATATACCAGAGGGTGGCACCCCATCCTTCCAGAGTATTTCCTCCAAGAAGCACCGTAGGGAGCTAGCCACTTCTGGGTGGTGCATATTTGATATGATCAGTAGATCCTGTGGCCAGGGCTCATTTCTAAACCTCAGTTACTATAAGCTGAAGGTCATGGCTTGATGCGATGTTATATAGGATTCTGTGCCAACATAGCAAGCATTCCATAACCCCATCCCTTGCATAGTAGTGCTGGCTAAGTTCCCATGAGCAGGAAAGCAAACATATACTCAGAGTATGTGTCTATGCCTGTAATAAGGAACCACTGGCTCCTCAGGATGAAACGAGCTCATTGGAACCAACATCTTACCAAGTGACTGACTGGTTTTCTTGAGCAACAGTGTCATATTAGAAGACCATCACCAGTCCTCATGGTTGGCATGTTGGATATTTAGCAGTGGTAGCAGCTAGATCAACCTTTGTAAATGCAGTTCTTGCTGCTGGACCTGTTGTAATCTCTACCAGTGTGGCTACTTTGTTCACGTGTTCTTTGCTCCAGCACTGGGGTGGCTAAAGTCAACTGGTGAGGTCATTTTTGTCTGCTGGGTTATTTAATGTCTATTCCATGGTAGATGCTATCTAATGATGTGTATTAACATGTGATATAAAGATTTTCCTACTTTGTGTTCACTCTCATATGTCTATCCACATACTCTACCTTAGACTGAGAATAATAGTGAATGCCTACTTTAAGTAAGATGGTGAAGAATTGCCTTTCTGAGGAAGTGAAATTTAATTTGAGAACTGAAGTAGAGAAGAAACAGGCCAGGGAAAGAGGGAAGAGCATTCCAGATGGAGCAGACGGCAGATGCAAAGGTCCTGTGAGATACGTAATGTGTATGTGTGTGTGTATATATATATATACGTGTGTGTTTGTGTGTGTGTGTGTGTGTATATATATATATATAATGGCCGGTTTAACAATTCATTGTATTAAGCATTTTGGCAAATAATTTTGTTTCTTCTTTTAGGAAACTGGTATCAACCTTATGTCAACTGAGGGGATAGATAAGGTAAAATCTATTCACCATCTTCGACCTGCACAGACTGTTGCTGTGTCATTTATCGTTGCTGAAGGACAGCTTCCCTTCCAACCTGCGGCAAGTCTAGTGAAGAAAACAGTTTCACTTGGAATGGCAGGTTACCCAACTCAGGACAATATTTAAAATTCTCAGCAGTGGTTTTGCAAGAGTGTCTACACACAGGATTGAGTTGATTACCTCTTTTCACCCCTTAAGACAGTGTGGTAGAGCACAGCAGGACAGGGTGAGTGCTGCAAGGTGAGGTTAACATAGAAAGCCATTGAGAAAGGAGGTGAAATAATGAGATTCAGTTATTTTGAAAGTTCATTCTGACTATAGTGTATAGGGTTGGAAGAAAGCCAGGATGATGTTGAACACCATCAAAAAGCAGTTTCCATAATCTCTGAGAGATAATACTGGCCTAGATTAAGGAGGTAGCAAATAATTTAGAAATGAATGGTTCAAAATCTGGTGTGGAGGTCCAATGAACTTGTTATACTGAAGGCAAATTGTAATAAGATGCATATTTTTCTAAGTTCAAAATAAAATGCCACTTGATATAAAGTCCATATCCTCACACAATGACTGAAGGGATCAATTAGATTTTGATGCTGTCATAAAAACCATGCTTTTCATTTAGTTGGCAGGAGGGCATATTTACTGAGTAATGTATGTAAAACTAAGTCCATCTGGTTTCTCTCAGTTTTGCCTACATTACAACTGGTGAAGAAGTAAATAGTCCAGACTGAGGAAGGCAACGAGGCTTCTCAGACTCAGATTCTGGGAAGAAATGACAGAATAACAATGCCAAATGAACATGGAGTTGGAAGATCAGAAAAGTAACAGAAAGGCTAGAATTTCAAGACCATCATGTGAGGCTGCAGAGTCCTTTTCATCTCCATAGACCTTGAGGACATCTTTGATGCAGCCAATAAAATAATACACCCATGAACATGAACTTGCACAAAGAGTTAACCATCTCTATTGTTTTTATTCACTAAATGGAGTCCAAACACATTTCCATTTTTAAAATACAGTTCTCAAAGGATGACAGTCCAGTTATCTGGAAAATTTTATCTAGTGATCATCTTAGTTAGCAATGGTGTAGAAAAAATGAGATATTGTCATATTTTAAGTCCCAAAGTTAACTGGCCCATGGCACCACTGATAGCACCTTAAGAAGAAACAAGAAAACAAAAACATGTGGAAGGAATTTGTTCCTGCCCTTAAGGA